ACCACATTGAGATACCACCTTACACCAGTTAGAATGGCAAAAATTGACAAGGCAAGAAACAACAAATGTTGGAGAGGTTGTGGAGAAAGGGGAACCCTCTTACACTGTTGGTGGGAATGCAAGTTGGTACAGCCACTTTGGAAAACAGTGTGACGGTGCCTCAAAAAATTAAAAATAGAGCTACCCTATGACCCAGCAATTGCACTACTGGGTATTTACGCCAAAGACACAGATGTTGTGAAAAGAAGGGCCATATGTGCCCCAATGTTCATAGCAGCAATGTCCGCAATAGCCAAACTGTGGAAAGAGTCGAGATGCCCTTCAACAGATGAATGGATAAAGAAGATATTACTCAGCCATCAGAAAGGATGAATACCCAACTTTTACATCAACATGGGTGGGACTGGAGGAGATTATGCTAAGTCAAATAAGTCAAGCAGAGAAAGTCAATTATCATATGGTTTCACTTATTTGTGGAACATAAGGAATAGCATGGAGGACATTAGGAGAAGGAAGGGAAAAATGAAGGGGGAGAAATAGGAGTGAGAGACAAACCATGAGAGATGATGGACTCTGAGAAACAAACTGAGGGTTCTAGAGGGGAGGAGGGTGGGGGGATGGGTTAGCCCAGTGATGGGTATTAAGGAGGGCACGTACTGCATGGAGCACTGGGTGTTATACAAAAACAATGAATCGTGGATCACTACATCAAAAACTAATGATGTATTGTATGGTGACTAACATAACATAATAAAATAAAATTAAAAAAAAAAGAAAGAAAACACTAACTCTTAGGCCTGTATCCTAAACAACTCCTGATTCAGAAGCTCTTTCTTGACTCAGAACTTCTGCAATTAATGATCCATTAGCCTGGATCACTCTTTCCCCAGCTCCTTGCCTAGTTCTCTTCCTCACAGAATCTCTGTATCTCTGTTCACATAATACCCCTCCTCTTTCTAACCTCCTATCCCAAATATTCCCCACACTGCCTCTTCTCTCCTTGACAGTATCTCTTCACTCTTATTTATTTTTCTTCTCAACAGTTATTATTACCTAAACTTACATATTTATTTCTTCTTTGACTATCACCTGTTTCCTCTTTCAAGCTCCAAAAAGGCAGAGAATCTTTTACTGTGTTTCTTGGGAAATCTTCTAAGCCTAAAATGGCCTTGTACACAGTAGGCAATGGATCAATATTTGAATAATGAGACATGCTGCATTGCTGAGAACCACTTTCTGGCCTAGTCAGCCATGTTACAAAATAGCAAAACTAAAATTTCTTAACATAACAAGATATGATTTGAGATCCTAACAAAGGCTTAACACATATCACAGACATCTTATTTGAAACATAAAAAGCTTGCCAAGAATCTAGTCATTCATTAGTCATGCTGTTTTAGAATATATTCAGATCTGTTTATTTCTTCTTTATAGATGAGACTTGGATAAATTTCAAGATCTACAAAAAAGAAGGAGTTAAAAATAAAAAGAGATGGAAGGCAGCTGAACTACTTCCTCCTTTACAGATTCAGAGAAGCCAGGGGGGTGGGTAGAGGATACCCCCTCTCCCTCTTAGAGAGTTATAGCAAAATCATCTTGGGGCCCGTTCAGATCTGTTCACTTGACTCTTAAACTTCCTGAGAGAAGTGTTAATTTAGTGAGCTGCCTTTCCTGTGTCCAAACTCCCAGATTCACATAGCATATCACTTAAGAACTTTACCACACTCGTATATACAATCATTAGGCAATATGGCCTTGAAATAGATGAAATACAGTTGTGTCCAAATGGTGGCCAATTCACATGGCTAATTTAAAATAGCAGATAAATGAGGGGAGGTCTGTGGGGATGGACAAAATAGGTGAAGGGGATAAAGCGGTACAAACACCCAGTTATAAAATAAATAAGTCACAAGATGGACAGCATAGGGGAAGAATAAATAAAGTAGCAGATAAATTTAAAAAATGTTTTACATGGGGCGCCTGAGTGGCTCAGTCAGTTAAGCGTCTACCTTCGGCTCAGGTCATGCTCTCAGGGTCCTGGGATTGAGCCCCACATGGGGCTCCCTACTCAGTGAGGAGTCTGCTTGTCCCTCTCCCTCTGCCCCTCGCCCATTCATTCTCGATCGCTCTCAGTCTCTGTCTCTCCCTCTCAAATAAATAAATAAAATCTTTAAAAAAAGAGTTTAACATTACTCCTGACATATATTATGTTTCAAGGGTTATTACTGGAGTGTTATTATTGTCTCCCCAAAACCCTGCCTACATCAATTATTCCCGATGCAATGAACTTCTTAAGTTTTAAGATTTTCTCTACTATAGTCCCATTCTCTGATGCACTATTAACCTTAGAATAATTTCTAGTATTTGAGACAAGACTCAGTCTATTATCTAAACTTTTTAACGGACTTAAAAATAGAACAGCCCTTTTGAGTGTTATTAAACCTAAAATGTGGCACTTTGTTCTTTGACACCCTTCAAATTAGAATTACTGTCTGGCGAATGTATTTTATCCATTTCTACTTTCTTGTCAAAAGATTCTACTTAGAAATCCTTTATATTTTCATGGACCCTTCAAAAGACAAAAGCAAACAGCAAAAAACACAATAGAAAAACAAAGCCCTAAGGACCCAGCTTAACTCCCAACTTCATGAATTACAGAATTAATGAACATCCTACTGAGCCTTTCGATTTTATAAACAGATTTTTTTATTTTAATTTTTTATTGTTATGTTAATCACCATACATTACATCATTAGTTTTTGATGTAGTGTTCCATGATTCATTGTTTATAACACCCAGTGCTCCATGCAGAACGTGCCCTCTTTAATACCCATCACCAGGCTAACCCATCCTCCCACCCCCCTCCCCTCTAGAACCCTCAGTTTGTTTTTCAGAGTCCATCGTCTCTCATGGTTCGTCTCCCCCTCCGATTTCCCCCCCTTCATTCTTCCCCTCCTGCTATCTTCTTCTTCTTTTTTTTTCTTAACATATAATGTATTATTTGTTTTAGAGGTACAGGTCTGTGATTCAACAGTCTTGCACAATTCACAGCGCTCAGCAGAGCACATACCCTCCCCAGCGTCTATCACCCAGCCACCCCATCCCTCGCACCACCCCCCGATTTTATAACATTTCAGAAATGAAATCCCTTTGTCGAAGGCCACAGAGCCAATGGGTAACAGAACTAGAATGAAAACCCTTGCCTCCTCAGTCCCCATTTGATACTCTCAACACCTGACACCTTGGATGACTGTTGTCATAGCTGCCTTCTCCAAAGTCTCATAGCACTTATAGTATAGCACCTGTCACGTAAGTCTTAACAATAGCATTGTCTTTATGGCTCAACTTAAAAAAAAAATTCCTATGTATTTCTCTTTTCTGCTTGACTAAATTATAAGTTCTGTGAAGATAAGGACCATATCAAATCTCTTCTGCATGATGCCAAGAGCCATCTGTAGTCCTGAGCACCAGGATGGAGCCTAATAAGTCTGTAATGACTGGCTGCTCTCCCTGGTGGTAGGACAAAGCAGCCTAGGGGCACAATGAATGATGTGAGTGGGAATAGCATCTCCCTAGGGATTTGGAAGTAAATTTCATGTGGAAAGCTAAAATATGATCGTTTCCTTCTGCATGTATACACAGCACAGTGACTTGTATTTATCCGTGGAATCCTCCCAACATGCCTAGTAAAGTAAGTCTTATTAGTTTTCTCATTATGCAGATGGAGAGACTGAAGCAGGCTCAGAGAGGAGAAACAGCATGCCCAGAGTTCCTCCACTAGCAAGCCAGACAAAAAATGAATGATCAGTAGTCGAAGACATTCATGTAATTCACAAATAACGATCCTCTATACACATCTATTGTCAAAGCTAGTAATTTGTTTTCTGTGTGATGTTCAGTATTCATAACAGGAAGCGGTGCCAATGAGCAAACAGAAATAATTTCTGTACTCCCTTTCCATCTCACAGACACATGGCAGGTATATGTATAATTTTATAAGTTGGTATCTTAATAAACAAAAATATATTTAACATATAGGCTTAAATATTAGTATAAATAAAATGATGATTAATAAAATTAATAATTATTCTTCTCTGTTATAATTATTTGAAATCTAATCTTAAGCTTGGAAAGAAACAATATAGATACCCAAAGAAATTAACTTAAAAATCAAAAGCTGAAAAAAAGAGAATAGGCTTGGGTAAAAAATTTGCTAGATCGATAAAATAGGTATTTTATAATTCTAGGAGGTAAAATATATAAAACAGAGTGCACTATTATCTCAATTATCTTTTCAAAGTAGGTGGTTTAGGTACTATTTCTCCTCAATTGCTCTCTGCCAATTCACAAGGAGAAAGAGAATTCCAGTTCTAGGATGTGCACCGAATTTCTTCTGCATATGATTAAGGCTCACAAAGGAGAAAAAAAGGGAAAATGTAAGGAGCTCTTGCTGAGTGCAGTGCAGCAGTGCTCCCTGGGCAGGCTGAGCTCCGTACGGATATGACCTTCAGTCGTATGATGTTGAAAGATACCACTCTTATTCAAAAGCCCTGGCAACAAGCATCCACACAAAGTTATCAGGCCTAAATCATTCTTTGTCATCCCGGGATACAAAATGATGCTATTTCATCCTTCATGGTCCATATCAAGGCAGGTGGACAAAGTCACGAGAGTTTTGATAAACCCCAGAACAAACTGAAAATCGTAATTCCTGCTATAGTTCGATCTTACTACGACTTTTTCAGTTTATGATTTTCCCCTTGATGACAATGGAAAACTAGTTGATCACCCAAAAGAAAATTTTGCTTCACGCTTCCTTCATTTTTGCATTCTTGTATGTTAAATATGGAGATCGAGATTTGAATTTAATGCAATTAGGTGCACAGTTTGGGCGTGGGGGGCAGCGGTGTGGGTCTTCACACCGGATTCCAAAAGACACTAACACAACAGGAGAAGTGAATTAAAAGATCACAAAGACTCAGAGAGGAGGGACTACTCACAATGTTCATCAGGGTGAGGAGGTAGTTCTGGACGTGCTCTTTGCCATGGAAGCGGACCACGGAGTCGTCCACCCCCAGCAGCACCTCGATGTTGTAGTCATTCTCTCCCGTGTGTCTGCGGCGTCTCACTGCCTCCTTCAGCTGCTGGTCAATGCTGCTGGAAATAGGACCTACATCGTCAAGGCCTCCCAGATTCGACTCTAGTAAGAAACAAAAGGAACTCAGGCATTTCAGCTTCCCCAATGGGCCTTCTGACAGCTTTTTACAAAAAAAGAATCTTCTAGGGGGTCTAACATTATAATCCATAGTCACTGAGATGCTGCTTTTCAGTTTATTCTTCAAATACTAAACACATGCATGTGATCGGACAGACCTCCTATAAATTCAGCATGGAATAGCAACACTGAGGATTATTGTACAGAAAGCAGGTGCCATCATGCCAGACCGAATGTTCCATGAGAGTAAGAGTGTGTACTTTCATCCTCGTGTAGCTGCATCCTCAGCGCAGAGTAGAGAGTGGATACAGACAGAACAGCTACTAAGCAGTTATTAAATAAATGGAGATTATAAATTAAAAAATCGTGTGTTGGTAAGTTTATTGTGGTTAATTGAAGTTGTTATAATCCTGGGGGGGACGGATAGAATTTGTATCACATAAGTTTAAATCACTCCTTTGCCAGTAGCCTTAATTTAAAAACCAAATTCGAGCGTGGCAATACGAAAGCAGCTAGTTGTATAATTACCAGTCACGATAAAGGACTTTATTTCTTATGAGTATGATTTTCTAGTGAATGCCGCTAGGAGACATTACAGATCTCCACATGTGTACTGGCCATCATCTGGATAGCAGGTCAGTGCCATAGCTATATATGTGAATCCATGAGACATCAAAGTAAGAAGTCAGTCAGAAAATATATCCAAAGAAAAAAAAAAGAAGAAACAATTCTTTCATTTTATACAGTCGAAGGAATTTAATATTACTTTCCCAATGGACAACACACACACACAAGATACAAATATCCATATACATCTATCTATCTATCTATCCATCTATCTATTGAGATAGAGAGTAAGAGAGGCATTCTCAGGTTCTAATTATCTTGATTATCTGCTTCAGATTTCCATATTTTTGGTGAAGAAAAATTTTTTCGTGAAATGAAAAATAAAATTTATCACTTGGATGCTAAAATAGAAGATATTATTCAAAACTGCTGGTATAAAACCCAAAGTAGATTCATTTCCATTTCAAATATATATAAGCTGGAAAGGATTTTATTTTACAAACTGCCTTGATGTCTATAACAACCCCCCATATCTAAAAACAAGTTTGACAGAACCCATTCTGACTCATGCTTTATATGGAAGGCTTACTTAATGCTGTACTGGGGCCCGTAAGCCATTTGAATCGGTGTCTGACATTAATAGGCATTTTCCTCCCCACTTTTGCAGTTTTAACAAAGTTTTTGGGGGAGGTGTCTCTTGGCCAGGAAGATTGATGACCAAGCCCTAGACATATGGGATTAGAAGTGGTAGAAGTACAGATCTTACTCACACCCTTTCCACTATTAAAAAACACACAGAGGGGAGCTTGGGTGGCTCAGTCGTTAAGTGTCTGCCTTCCGCTCAGGTCATGATCCCAGGGTTCTGGGATCGAGCCCCACATCGGGCTCCCTGCTCAGCGGGAAGCCTGCTTCTCCCTCTCCCACTCCCCCTGCTTGTGTTCCCTCTCTCGCTATGTCTCTCTCTGTCAAATAAATAAATAAAATCTTCAAAAACAAAAACAAAAACCACACACCCACACAGAAACACCAGCACCCTCCCCTGCAAGTATGGGCATAAGCTCTGAATACGACTACTCAGGTTTGAAAGCTATCCTGTAATTCACTTTGATCCAAGCCCAAATGCTAGATCATTAGCTCGGAATTTTCTTCTCATTGGGGAATCACATTGACTCCACAATACATAAATAGCTCTTACCACCATCCACATCAAACAGAAAGTTTTCCTCAAAAGTTGTTTTTAAGAGCTGCAACCCACACTGAGGGCAAGACACTACACCTGCAAACACCTTTACCTAATCCAACCTCAAGCCTCTCACACACTTGGGAAAGTGAAAGGATGTGATAGCTAAGGTACAAACAGGAAACTCCCACATGAGCTCCCAGTTCTAAAAATGGCTCTTTTTGGCAGAACTGCCAGTGACAGGGTCCAATGCAAATATACTAGCCATGTCATCATATCATTAAATCTGATGCATGAATGGAGAAGACTGAATACTTATTTCGGAAAGACAGTTCCATTCTGCTCTAACACACCTTTGGTTTGGCCTTTGAATCCCTCCTTAAATAGGTGGTTTTCTGGTAAGAGAAAAAAATCTCTTTTTTCATTGCATGAGGAACCTGGGAAGGAAGAAGGAAGCCTTTTTCCTTCAACCATTGCCCTGATTCAATCAAGAATACTTCTGTCCCTATTTCCCCCTGAGCACTACAGTGCCCTTTCTATGATTCCTAAAGTAGGCAGTGCAAACATTGCAAAGACAGTGAAAGAATTTCTGGCACTTTTTATCTATACACATCAGTAGGAATTACAGACATTTTTGATGCTGTGAAATATCCTCACTCATAACGAATTATTCCCAGTAGGCCCACTTTGTAATGTAATTGTCATGGGCTTTGTAATCAGACATATTTGACTTCAAATCCTGCCGGTGGCTATCCTGTATGATTTTATTTAAGATGCTTACCATCTCTAAACCTCACTTTCCTTACCTGTAAAATGGGATAATCCCTACTTTGCAGAGTTGCTGTGAAGAGATGATTATAGTAAAAGCACTATGTACAGTGCTTAGATATAAGTGCTCAACAAATAGTATTCACTGTTACTACTGTCATGATGATGATGGTGGTGGTGCTGATTTCCCATTAAGAGAAGTCTTCTACACCTTTTTTTAGCTTTTTACATTTTGTTTTATATATCAGAAATTAAATAGTTACATTTTTTTAAACAGAGATAAGAAAAAAATCTAGACTTAATGAAGGGAAATCTAAACTGCTAATAATGTTAGAAAGAATGAAGGTTAACAATATTTCCTGCAGAGCATTAAATAGGTACAAGGAGAAAAGAATCTAGAATGTTTACCTTCAGGTAAATTAGGATGAAATCCAATGAGACAAGCCTGTTTAGTAGATTAAAAACCTAATATGAAATTGGAAAGAGTTAGCTAATAGATGGCACTGATCTTCACTCAATGTATATTTACTGAGTACCCATACATGTCTCAGACCCTGAGAAGGTAAAAAACTACTTGGTACCTCTTTAGGTGTTAACTCTGGGAACCTCACAGTTGTACTGGGTTTATATTCAGAATGGAGCTGAGTTCATATCATGTAGTCACAAACCATTATCTAGGCTTGAAAGACTTACACCATTTCTAGTTTAAGCAGATCTAATCAGGGTACTAGAACATGCCTTTCAGTAATAGCTCACACCTTTATAAAGCTTCAAAGTTTAAAAGCTGACACCTGCTTTGATAAAATTTAAGATTCCTCTATGTCTAATTCTGCATTATTTCTGTGCCCCATAAAATATAAGAACAGGAATAATTAAAGGTGAGTATCATGTTAATCATGTCCAAACACCCGCCCATCAGATCTGTTTACTGCTAAAAGGACTGAAAGGAATCACAGAGAAGGCCATAGGCAAGTTCCAGAAGCGTAAACAGAGTGACATTTTGCATTGGGAGTAGCAAACTAGACCTGTGGGGGCATTCTGTTGGCATCCCCTTAAGTAAATGCATTCAAGGTGACTTGAATGGCTGTAGCTGGCTTGGACAGCAGAGGGTGATTGAAGTGATAATAGAATCAGTGGGAAGAGCACCTTTAAGATAAATAAATAAGGCTCTGCAGTAGGTGCAGTGTGCATCATTCCAGAAAAGTGATGCTCAGAGTACCTTTCAAGCTTCCCAGAAATATCAAAGGCAATCATCCTTAGTACTGAGAGTGAGTTTCCTTTCTTCAAACGTCTTTGAAACTCAATATTTTGAGTTACTGATAAGAATTAATTACTATCTGGAAACATTTTGATTACACCCATTTTTGTCCCCTCTAGCTTCCCAATTGTTGTATATGAATTTTCAGAAAAAGAGTAATTTTACTACAAAGTTTATTTTTATTGAAGATGTATTGGGAGCACTCTGGTGAGCAACTAAGTCACAATAAATATAGTTATTTTTAGTGTTAAAGACAGGATGGTACCTAGTGTTAAATAAGAATTTTGAACTTCCCAAACAGATAAAGTAAATTTATAAGTTGTTTTGCTGATTATGAACACATGGGCTTAAGACATTTTCAGGATGGAGCATGGCATGTTTACATACCTAATCATATTTACAAGAAGTCTAAGTGTAGATTGGTGAAATCACTCCCACCCCGGAAGAAATTCTATAGTCCGAAAACTGATAGGAGACAAAGTTAAAATTGGAAAAATATAAGTTTTGATCAAGTTCTGAATCTGATACAAATACATCTGGAGTTGGAAAGCAATCTCAAACATACTGTGATAGAGACTGTGATAGAATCATCTATTCTCTATCCATTCTCTCTTCCCTAAGGAGTAGAATGGTAATTTTATTTGAGGTGGTCATAAACCCAGCTAAAAGTCATTCACAGTCTCTCTTGGAGGACTAAGCACCCCACATGACTAAGAATAATTCAATCAGAAATAAGCAGAAGTATTGCTTATACTTCAGTGGCTTAAATTGGCTGGTATGAAAGGCTTCCACCAAGGCTCCTCAAAGGAGTGTGATTCCTCTTGGTAGGTTAGACCCTTTGGTCCCTTACTCAGTATTCCTTCCTGCTTCCTGGAACATGGACATGATGTCAGGAGTTCTATGAGGTAACCTTAGAATCAAGGCATGTGCTTAGGATGATAGGGGAGCTATAAAGAAGAGATCTGACCCCACGATGACTGTGGAGCGGGCATTCCAGCCCTGCAGTGCGAGCACCAGACTTTGTTACACATGGGGGATACAGCACTTCCGCCATGTTTAGGGTAAGTTTGGGTTTTCTTTTATATGTCACTGAATCTAGCCCTAATAGATAGGACATTGACAATAATTTTATTGTATAAATTCCTAATGCTCTCCTGCTCCATTTGGGAATGCAAGTTAATTTTCATGTGGATAAGTGAATGGTAAAGTAAG